ATATGCATCAGGATTTGCAGCATTAATGATTGCAGGTAGCTTGTATGTAACAGATATGAGGTATTAAATTTCTGTTTAGGAAGCAAGGAATGCAGTTGTTACTCAGAGCTGCTATGCCACACTCACAGTATCTTGCTATCACTGTAACCAACTAATGCCAAAAGAACAGTTTTGTAATAAAATTATAGATGTATCTAAAACAACTCCATAGTAGTTTGATTTTTTCTTTTTTTAACTTTATTTTTACTATTGACACTATTAAAGATGTCCCCATTTTTTCCCCCTTTGCCCATCTCCACCCAGCCGTCAACCTCCCCCTCCCCCTCCCCCTGGCCATCACCACTGTTGTCCCTGGGTTGTGCATATGTTCTTTGACTAATCCCTTCACCTTCTTTCACCCAGTCCCCTCTTCCCCCTCCCCTCTGATAGCTGTCAGAATGTTTCATGTATCCATGCCGCTGTTTCTGTTCTGTTCATCAGTTTATTTTGTTTGTTAGATTCCACATATAAGTGAAATCATACGGTATTTGTCTTTCTCTGGCTAGCTTATTTCACTTAGCATAACAATCTCCAGGTCCATCCATGCTGTTGCAAAAGGTTAGCTTTCCTTTTTTATGGCCACATAGTATTCTATTGTGTAAGTGTACCACAGCTTTTTTATCCACTCATCTACTGATGGGCACTTGGGCTATTTCCAGGTCTTGGCTATTATAAATAATGCTTTGAACATAGGGGTATATATATTTTTTCAAATTGGTGTTTCAGGATTCTTAGAATATATTTTCAGAAATAGTTTGATTTTTTAAAATAGCATTTAACTATATACAAGGGACATTGTCCCAGCTTAGAAAAGCAATTGAAGAAAATACTGACATAAAACTGTAGAAACCAGAAACATGATTATGTTAAAGGAAATTTATTAACGTTTGAATTGGTCATTTCTTGACTACATGTAACAAAATTGACTAAAGGTGGTTTAAACCCAAAGGGTTTATTAAGGTATATAGCTAGCTCACAGAATAACTGCCTGATCTTCCTAGAAATACATCCAAAAGCCATACTACAGAGCTGGACCATCAAGTTGGTGTTGCCCGTACTGGTATCAGGAAACTTCTGAATGGGCCTGTCCACCTCTGCCACATTTCAATTGAGCACATGAATTTCCCTTCCTATGCAATTCAGGTCCAAATTAAAGGCTCATTTTAGTGCATCTGATTGGAAAGAGCCTAAATGATATCTGCAACTCCTTACTGCAGAAGAATTTGGGAAATGTAGTTCATAGCTTTCCAGCCTCTGCAATTCAGGAAGACATGCTAGGAAGAAATTGGAGTGTTAAGCGAGTTCTCTACCTGAACATACTTACATCTCACTTTATCAATAAAGAATTTTTGTTCAGTGTTCAAAGAAGTAAACGACAACTAAAGAAATTTATAGAGTAGAAAAGTTATCTCTGCAAGAATTCAGAAGTATTTTAATACTTTCTGGAGAAAATATATTTATGGCATCTTTTAAACATTTTACATGTTTTTGTCTTTAGACTTCATTAATCTCTGATTTTATATTGAAATTGGAATAAAGTATCATTCCTGTGTAGACAATTTCAAAGATTTCATAAGGTACAAAATCTGTATAGAGAAGTTTACATAAGATAGTATTTACTCTCAGAAATGATCTTAGTGTCCCCAAGTTGATTGGATTCAGGCCTGCTAACTCAAAGCTCATAGAGACTGTTAAAGCCTAACAGCAGTTTACCAATTTACACTGAGAAATGTAACTGAAGCAGACCAAACAGTTGCATCAACCTAGCCACTTCGCATTTTCTGCCTGAAGTTTAACAATGTGGCAATTCGTTTATCAAAAAGTTGCTTAATGAGTGTGGAATCAGGTGAGGAGGCTCCATGATTTAAATGTATAATGATTTTAGGCTTTGATATTCCTAATGAGGACCATCTTCTAAAGGGCAACTTGCATTGAACCAACAATTAAAATGTGGCGGCTTTTCATGGAATGCCATTTTTACTTGAACAACTGATAAGAGGTCGTTCATACTTTGGATGGCTGGCATACATTTTCCCCCAAAATGAATGAATTTGTCACCTCAAGGAAAACAACAAACTGAGTGTATTGCCAATGAAAAAGTTTGAGCTTTCAAGTGAAAATTTTAACCTACCACAGTGAGCTTGACAGCTTCTTAATACCTGTAGACCTTTCTAGTGAAATCAAAGTGATATTGAGTGCCATTTTTGATATTGTATAATAAAGCATGTCAACAATTGGGAGATCTGCATAACTCCACAAACCAGTATTTTCCAAATGACCCATCTGTAATGTTATGCACATACTTACATTGAAAACCCATCAGACAGTTTTATACTTTTTGTATTCAACCACCAAATGTTTTTTAAAGAACTCAAGAAGAGTAGCCTTTTATATTTACCCACATACTTACCATTTCTGATGTTCCAAGTTTCCTTCCAGTATTATTTCCCTTTTATCTGAAGAAATTTCTTCCAGCAATTCTTTTAAAAGTATGTCTGCTGGTTGCAAATTCTCTTAATTTTCCTTCAGCTGAGAATGGCTTTATTTCACCTTTATTCCTGAAGGATATTTCCACTGGGTATAGAACTATGGGTTAACAATTATGTCCTTGAAAATGTTTTGCGACTTCCTCCAGCCCTCATGATTTCTAGTGAGAAGTCTCATTGGAACGTTTACTCACCAGTAGGTTAGTCGTCATTTTCTTCTGGCTGCTTTCAAAATTCTTAGTTTGTCTTTAGTTTTCATCAGCTTGTTTTTGATGGGTCTGGACATGAGTGTCTTTGGATCTGTCCTGTCGCTCAGCTTCTTGAATCTGTAGATTTGTGTTTTCACCAAACTTGGAACATTTTCAGCCATTATATCATCAAATACATATATTTTTTCACTTCCTCTTCTCCTGTGGGACTCTGATGACAGAATGGTACACCTTTTGTTCTTGTCCAAAGGTGACACTACCTGTGAAATATTCAAGTTTCTCCCCCCCCCCATAAACATCTTTTATGGACAACACTCCAATGAGACCTCTTGCACACATTTATTTCTGCGTGGTAAATTCCTTGAGGGGATTTACTAGGGCCCTTTATACGCGTACAATTGGTACAGGTTATACAAATTTACACTCACGTATGGGTGTGGGGAAACGTTTAGTTTCTGTACATCAACAGTAGACATTACCGTTCTTTTTGCTGTTTGCCAGTCGGATAGGCAAGTAGCTTCTAGTTATTCTTAATTTTTATTGTTTGGATTACTAGTGCAGGCTCGGAGTTTTAACCAGAGGCCTGGCTAAGCACAGATTGATAGACTCCACCCCCTAGGTCTAGGATGGAACCGACAGTGTGTACCCGTGTACGTCTAAGTTTCCCTGGAGATGGTGAAGCCTCTGCATTTGGTCTGAGGACCACCCTCTGTATACCAGTTTTGCACGGACCGGGACCCTCTCTACAGCACCCAGCACGGGGCTGGGCATCTGGACTGAAAGTGATCGGTGAACACATCATCGTCCCCCTACGCTTGTAGAGAAGCAGCCAGGGTAGGAGACCGTTCGGTGCACCGGGGCTGGAGTCTGAGACGCACTCACACTCGGGCTCCGCGTGGCCGCGTCGGGTCTCCAGGTGTCCGGAGGGCGGGGGCCACTAGGGGGCAGCCTCGCGCTTGCCCTGCCCGGGCTCGTTTCCGGCC